TTTGGCATTTTTAGGTCCTAATATACTATTTCTTTTTATGCCTTATCATACTATGACCTTTTTATGACCTTTTATTCATCAATATACAAAGTTGTTTTTTTGACATTTTATGCCATACTATACTATGACGTTTTTTCACATTTTTTTGCCAAACTATGCTGTGACGTTTTTTGGCATTTTTAGGTCCTAATATACTATTTCTTTTTATGCCTTATCATACTATGACCTTTTTATGACCTTTTATTCATCAATATACAAAGTTGTTTTTTTGACATTTTATGCCATACTATACTATGACGTTTTTTCACATTTTTTTGCCAAACTATGCTGTGACGTTTTTTGGCATTTTTAGGTCCTAATATACTATTTCTTTTTATGCCTTATCATACTATGACCTTTTTATGACCTTTTATTCATCAATATACAAAGTTGTTTTTTTGACATTTTATGCCATACTATACTATGACGTTTTTTCACATTTTTTTGCCAAACTATGCTGTGACGTTTTTTGGCATTTTTAGGTCCTAATATACTATTTCTTTTTATGCCTTATCATACTATGACCTTTTTATGACCTTTTATTCATCAATATACAAAGTTGTTTTTTTGACATTTTATGCCATACTATACTATGACGTTTTTTCACATTTTTTTGCCAAACTATGCTGTGACGTTTTTTGGCATTTTTAGGTCCTAATATACTATTTCTTTTTATGCCTTATCATACTATGACCTTTTTATGACCTTTTATTCATCAATATACAAAGTTGTTTTTTTGACATTTTATGCCATACTATACTATGACGTTTTTTCACATTTTTTTGCCAAACTATGCTGTGACGTTTTTTGGCATTTTTAGGTCCTAATATACTATTTCTTTTTATGCCTTATCATACTATGACCTTTTTATGACCTTTTATTCATCAATATACAAAGTTGTTTTTTTGACATTTTATGCCATACTATACTATGACGTTTTTTCACATTTTTTTGCCAAACTATGCTGTGACGTTTTTTGGCATTTTTAGGTCCTAATATACTATTTCTTTTTATGCCTTATCATACTATGACCTTTTTATGACCTTTTATTCATCAATATACAAAGTTGTTTTTTTGACATTTTATGCCATACTATACTATGACGTTTTTTCACATTTTTTTGCCAAACTATGCTGTGACGTTTTTTGGCATTTTTAGGTCCTAATATACTATTTCTTTTTATGCCTTATCATACTATGACCTTTTTATGACCTTTTATTCATCAATATACAAAGTTGTTTTTTTGACATTTTATGCCATACTATACTATGACGTTTTTTCACATTTTTTTGCCAAACTATGCTGTGACGTTTTTTGGCATTTTTAGGTCCTAATATACTATTTCTTTTTATGCCTTATCATACTATGACCTTTTTATGACCTTTTATTCATCAATATACAAAGTTGTTTTTTTGACATTTTATGCCATACTATACTATGACGTTTTTTCACATTTTTTTGCCAAACTATGCTGTGACGTTTTTTGGCATTTTTAGGTCCTAATATACTATTTCTTTTTATGCCTTATCATACTATGACCTTTTTATGACCTTTTATTCATCAATATACAAAGTTGTTTTTTTGACATTTTATGCCATACTATACTATGACGTTTTTTCACATTTTTTTGCCAAACTATGCTGTGACGTTTTTTGGCATTTTTAGGTCCTAATATACTATTTCTTTTTATGCCTTATCATACTATGACCTTTTTATGACCTTTTATTCATCAATATACAAAGTTGTTTTTTTGACATTTTATGCCATACTATACTATGACGTTTTTTCACATTTTTTTGCCAAACTATGCTGTGACGTTTTTTGGCATTTTTAGGTCCTAATATACTATTTCTTTTTATGCCTTATCATACTATGACCTTTTTATGACCTTTTATTCATCAATATACAAAGTTGTTTTTTTGACATTTTATGCCATACTATACTATGACGTTTTTTCACATTTTTTTGCCAAACTATGCTGTGACGTTTTTTGGCATTTTTAGGTCCTAATATACTATTTCTTTTTATGCCTTACCATACTATGACCTTTTTATGACCTTTTATGCGTCAATATACTAAGTTGTTTTTTTGACATTTTATGCCATACTATACTATGACGTTTTTTCACATTTTTATGCCATATATGCTATGACGTTTTTTGGCATTTTTAGGCCCTAATATACTATTTCATTTGATGCCGTACCATACTATGACATCTTTATGATGTTTTATGCCTTAACATACTATGTTGTTTTTTTGACGTTTTATGCCATACTATACTATGACATTTTTTCAAATTTTTATGCCATATATGCTATGACGTTTTTTGGCATTTTTCGGCCCTAATATACTATTTCATTTGATGCCTTACCATACTATGACCATTTTATGAACTTTTATGCCTTAATATACTATGATGTTTTTTTGATGTTTCATGCCATACTATACTACAAGGTTTTCTGGTATTTCTATGCCTCAATATACTTTGAAATTCTTATGCCTTGCAACACTCAGAGTTTATGATGTTTGTGGGTTCAAAGCCCTGTATGGGGCTTTATTGACTAAGGCTTTTTTTTTTTTTTAAATTTCACGCCATTCTATACTATTACATAATCTGGTCTTTTTATGCCTTACTGTACTTGGTCTTTTTATGCCTTACCATACAACCACATATTTTTGAGCTTGTTATGTTCCCTGCTAAAGTTCACAGATATAGGGAAGCAACAATGAATAAAATAAGTAAACCAGGCAAAACACAAAGATTCAGGGAAACAGATTCCGCAAAAATAAGGGATTTTATTCGTAAATAACTAAAAACTATAACAAAAAGCCTATAGTGGGAAATTCATTGCAAAACTAGCACCACACCAAAACCAAGATGACGCATGACCCTCCAACCACAAATTGAGAATGTCACTAGGCTTCAACACTAAAGACATGAACAGTTCTCTTTGGGACAACTGTCACACAGCTTTTTAACCGCCGAATGGCCCACTCTCGCCCTGACCAGGCGTCCTCTCTCCACCTTTATGCTCCAGCTCCTGACTGAGAAACCAAGGGCAGCCATGTCGAGTCACGAGCTGGAGAAAAAGGGAGCGTAGAGGGGCACGCACTCACAGCACAACACCACAGCACATAACAGACTTACTATACTATGACATCTATACGTCTTACAATTATACAGCATTTTTATGACTTATTATACTAAGACAATTTAATGACTCACTATACTATAACATTTTTGGCTGGATCACAACAGTGGGGCCAGCCCTATAATTGCAAATTTCCCTGTTCAGCCTGTGGCCTTTTTGCTTAAAGAGGAGGAAGAACAAAACCAGAGAGGACTTTCTCTTGTTCCTCTTTAAGCTTCCCCCAGAGTCTTTCTGTCTTGATGGCCTTTTTAATGTCTGGTGGACTGTGTGTGTAAAAAGTAAGAAAATGAAAAAATGTGAAATGTCAGCCTCTCTAATACCAGAGGCCTTGAAAGGTCAGCTCTGAGATATTCTGCGCCGCCATTAAAACCTCAAACAGACAGACAGAAGTCGTCCAGTATCTCAGGGCAATAATTCACCACTAAGACGTGCAGACTGGAATCGTAATGAGGCTCCTGTTAAAAAAGTTTCACTATGACGAATTCAACCTCAGGTTGACATCAAGAAAGACACTTTTCTGTAAAGACAGGGACTCATTAATGTTCTGGTTCAGTGTTGACGTCTATGGAGGACCAAGGATATCACAGGAAAAGTAATAAAGCATTTCCTTTTTCCTTTTCCTTTTTTGCAGTCTTTGTGAATCCAGTTTAAAATCTGAAGTATTTATTGATGGATTAACAGTTAATTTATAAATTCTTTTCACAATTCCTATTTTTAATGCCTTTCAAAAGCTGAAATTAAGGAAATGCTTTTATTACTTTTCCTGTGACTTTCCTGGTCCTCCACAGAGACTGGTGGGAATGATTTGGACTGAATCTGTTCATGAAGTAGAAAATTACAACACATTTTTCAATTTTATTTTAACATTGAGAAAATAATAATTGATTAAATTGAGGATATGTTTTATCCAACATTTTCTTCTGACACATATTGGTGCCTGTTCCTTTTGCATCTAACCACCTCTGTCATCTGCAGTTTGGTTGGTAAACTTTGACGTTCTTCGTATCTTTCATGAGTTTTTGGGCAACACGTTGAAAACCGTAACTGTCACTGAGGAGCTTGTTTCCCACGACTGTAGTCTACATGTTGGCTTCTCTTTGAGCTCAGCGTCAGGACTGGTCGTCAGAGGATTTCTAACTTTGCCTCTGTATAAATCTCTGCCAGGACAGTGCGGGGAGGATGAGCTGGATGTTCGGTCCTGTGGGGAATGGGGCTCCGCTCCGCCCCTCTGACAGGGGCTCCGAGCTTCTCTTTCAAGCCCCTGATAGCTGCTGTATCTGGGTTACCCAGTTCTGCTCCGGCCTCAGTGTGCCCTAAATCAATATGGAAATCAGAAGTTAGAAATGAGATCCACAGATGTGGACTAGAAAAGTAAAGAGAGTGGTGTCTTGCTGTCTGTTTGTGAGTTATGTAAAAATATAAACAGCTCTGTAGAGCTGAAAAAATGTATTAGTCAGTTGCCAGAAATAAATCAAATTATCATTTAAGTAAATTTTCTACCAGAAATGTAGAATTTAATGACATGATATAAAAAATGTGATGTAATAGTATAAAATGTTAATGAGAACTTGAAAAAAGTAATGCAAGTTATATGTTTTTTTAGGTTATGTTAAAGTTATAAATGTTAGTGTAAATGAATAAATTTTTTTAAACAGTTATAAGAATTTTAATTAGTTCTATGAAGTTGTATAAAAGGTAAATATAAAAGCTAATGAAAATTGTAGAAAAGAATATCTAATGTAACATTTGTAAGAGTAAAGTGTAATAAAACTACTGACAATGTTTAAAATGACACACAAAACACAAAAATGTAGTTTGGCAGCTATTTTTTTTAATGATCTTTATATTCCAGTTTACAGAGATCTGACAGCAAGTCATAAAAACTGCTTTATACATTCACTCAGGGCTGGGTGATATCACTTCAATCAATATCATAATATAACAGATATATGTAAAATCATACATTAAAATAATCAAAATGGTTTTATGTATCACATCAAAACCTTTAATAACTAATTTAATTAGGATTTTCAGTTCAATTTGCCTGGAATCATTAATTTGGACATTAGATTTTTGTAATATTATAATTCTACTACTAATATTAATAATAACAATGTTTCCACTGAAAGAAAACCAATATTGAATTATTGCCCAGCCCTGTATTTTCAGAAATTCAAAACCAATGATCATTATGTCCTTTAGAAATAAATCAATAAAAACATCTCGTTTGAGCAGAAATCATTAAAAACCTAAAAGAGGGATAAATGTTTGATACTGTTTGAATTTCAAATGTGAACTTTCAATTCTTTTCAAATATATATTTAAAAAAAAATCACATTTCTCAGATATTTTCTCAGCAAAGCAAATATTTTTATCCAATTTTACAACTGTACTCGTCAATTATTGATGCATTTTAAAAACAGAGTTCCCGCATTATATTCAGACTTCCAGTTTAATTTTCCGTGTTAACTTTAGACAATCTGTGAACGACTTTATGAAAGTGTGACTAGTGTGGTGAACGGTTCAAACTTTTCTTCCTTTGATTAAAAGCAGTAGTTACTGTAAGTCTGAACAAAGCAGGTTATAATTGGTTGAAATATCTAAATATTACCCAGCATTAAAATTGTCAACATACAGTATGTATTCATTATCATATAAAAAAAAGAGTATTACATCAATATTTACATACAGCAATATGTGTAACGTTTTAAATAAACAGCTTATATGGATGAGTGAGTGACAACATACAGTCATAATAAAGGGTATAAAAAATAGATGGCTCTTTCCTTCCCTGTGATCAGTTTGTATTGAGGACAGCTGCGGAGCTATCACTGCTAACGTCAGATTTGTTGTTAATAACCACTTTAACGCCAACGACCTGAGATTAACCTGTGTTTCCTTTTTAACTGGGGATGGGTTCTGATAGCCGGGTTCTGTTTGGGATCCGGTTCCAAGTTGGTAAAATGCCCCGGTGTGTTAAACACAGCGGACAACCACTTCCTGATTTAATCCTTCGTTCACATTCGAATGTCCACGGTTTAGGTTTTATAACTGTAGTTTCTATTAATGTCAGTGTGATGCTTGTCTGGTAATTAACGTGATTAGAGAAAACTAGATTCTAAATATCAAGTTCTATCTTTATTTATTTATTTATTTATTTATTATCAATAGATTCAGATTGAATAAAATGCTACTGAACCCCACCCCCACCTTCAACACTTTAGAAAACCCATTGACCACATTTATTATCATGATTCTAATAAGTTTTTAGGCGAGTAAAATCCGTCTCCATCATTATTTGTTTTAATTTTGTTGAAAAGTCACCAACAGGTCAAACAAAGGACAAAACCAACTGTAGAGTAGTAGCCAATGAACAAGCTTCCCTGTAATCCCAGTAAACATGTAACGCTCCTTACTGGAGTCACCAGTTTTTCAAAGCTTCAATTGATTTGCTGCAGTTCTGTCGGTGTTTAACTCCCATAAACTCTTCACACTGATGCTCTGACAGAGGTCAGGAGGTTGATGTAAAAGAAGTGATACACAGTTAAAAATTGACTTTAAGAACTGGAGAGAAAAATCAGTTTCACTGGTAAAATACTGACAGCATCACATCATATCATCTGTGTTTCCTTTTACTTTACACATGGCTGATTTTTCCCTGCTTCGTCCGGTGTGTAGTTCACGTTCTCTGTTAACGCAACATCATTTCAATAACGTCAGAGTGAGTCAACGGAGAAAAGTTTCCTCTCTCTCCATCAGATGGACGTCATCGTCTTGTCTAACGTCCGGTGTACATGAAATCTGAGGAGAGACAAAAACACAGGAGTTTTAAATTATGCTGCGGACACATTTAGTTTGTTGGCTGTGTCGTCTTTTCAAGTGGAAATGTGACAATCAGCCAATCGATCCTAATTCATTGACAAATATTCTCTGGTTTCAGCTTATTAACAAAAGATTTGCTGCTTCTTTACTTTACAATTGTATGAAAAAGTTTGGGCAACATTTGTTTTCCAATCCTTAATGTTCATGAACTAAAAAGTTAAAATACATTAATATTTAAAGTCATTTTTTTAAATGTCCCGTTTGCTAAAGGAGTCGCATTTATGTCTTTTCACTTCACGGCAAACACAGACTTTTACGTACAACTGTAACAGTAACGATTGGAATAAATAATATTTTCCTCAGCTCCAGATATAAATATATACTTAATCTGTTCAGATACAAGATACTTGGCTGACTATTAAATCTCAATATATTTGTTTGGTTCCAAGTGAAATGTGTTTTACATCGACAACTATGGAGGAGCAAAAGCATCGAACATCTGATGAGATTCACCTTTATCTTATTCTTTGATCAGGCAGATTAAAATCACAATCTGGTTTGTTATAAGAAAAGGTTTTGACATGTAGATCTCAGTTTCTCACCTCGGCAGTACTCAGGGTTGAAGTTTTCGTAGATGGGGTAAAGAGGGTTCTCCTGTTCACTGCGATGCTTTCTGGCCCTCAGGACGTCCCGTACACACTGGTGCAGGAAGGCATACTGGCACTGTAACACACACACACACACACACACACACACACACACACACACAGTCACTGTTAGTCCAGTATTTACTGGTCTTTCAGCTGTGGTTGAATCCACTGTTTACTGGGGTTGATGGGTCCGGACCGGTCCAGTTGTTCGCTGTGGTGTGACGCAGAACGTATATCAGATATCTGAGATCTGCTCAGCGACACTTTGGGGGACACGTACCTCGGTCTGGACCATGTGCTGGCGGTGCAGGCGGAGGTCGAACACGCAGCCGTACAGGTCGATGGTTCCTTTAGAGTCCAGCTGCTGCAGAACCCGATCCAAGGCGATGAAGGTGCCTGTTCGTCCAACACCAGCACTGAACACACAGAGACGTCCAACAATAAGAAATCTTGTCTCAAACAGAAACAAATATATGATGTTGGGTTTGTTCCCGCACTGTGACCGACCTGCAGTGCACCACGGTGGCTCCAGTACTCGGTGAGCGGTCCACGTAGTCCCGGACCGTCCGGACGAACTGGATCAGGGACTGGGTGCTCTCTGGGACTCCGTGGTCGGGCCACACGGTGTAGTGGAAGTGACGCAGCACCCGAGGGTAACTGCGGCTGCTCTCCTGACAGCACACACACAATGTAATGATTATTAATTATCACATATAAATGAAAACTAATAATAACAAAGCGGAGCAGGAGGCGGAGAGCAGGTACCGAGGTGATCTTGAACTCTCTGATGGTCCACTCCGGCAGGACGGACTCTGACAGCATCTGAATGACCAGGTCTCCGTAGTACAGAGGTTCTCTGTCTGCGGGCCAGTACTGATCACACTTCACCTGAAACGCACCAGTTACATCTTTAAATACTCTTGTGCTGCAGTCAGAGGTCAGAGGTCAGAGGTTATTGAAATCATTCAGGCTCATCCTCTGGAGACCACGACTATCCGCAGACAACCTGAAGTAAATCTGGACTCGAGCTGCTGAGAGATTTCACTCCAGACAAAGTTTCGGACGCTCGTCACCGTCTTTAGGTTCCTCCACCAACAAGAGAATAAAAATAAAAAGAATCAAAACTGAAACTATGAATGACTCACCCGTCCTTTCTCCGTACACTGCGTCACCATGACAACGTTGTAGACGCCGTGCTCCCACACCATCCGCCAGAAATCATCCTTGGTGCCGGGCAGCGGTCCCTGGGTGGCGATGTACTCCCTGCGGTAGTTATTCCCCTGCGCACACACACACACACACACACACACACGGTTTAGTACAGTGTGTTTAAGTGTGTATGTCTTCTACATGTGTAGATGTGTGTACGTACAGGTATGTAGCTGGCGTTGATGTAGTCGGAGCAGGGATCATCCTCCAGGTACGACAGCTTCACTCTGGTAGAATCATCTGTAAAATGAGAAGAGAAATTTATCACAACACAATCTGTCGGTGTTTGAAGTTAAAGAGCTGAAATTACGTTTGATAACCTGTACATTTTTTGCGTATTTAAGTTTTTTTCTAAAGCTCCTCCAGTGTAAAGGTCTGTGTCCATGTGTAGTGTGATTATAGATCAGCTCTAGCTTCTATATTAATACTGTGAAAGTATCAAAGCCTCAGTCCACAGAGAAATGCACACAGCCTGTATTCAGAAACTGAGCCTTAAAACCAGCCGTCAGGACTTCTGGAACTTTGTGATGTCACAACAAAGCAGTCACCAAGCCCCGCCCACCTGGACCCACCATCCAAACCTTGCAGGATTTGGTTTCTCTGAGTGTTTTTACCTGAAATCTGCTTTATTTTTATTGGATCACTCAGAAAACAGTCAGCCAATCAGAAGAGAGGCTCAGAGCCTCCTCTCTTCTGATTGGCTCACCGACCTGTTGTCACTAGAGCTCCAGAGAGAAGCCTGAGAGAGGAGATGTAAAACTACACTGAGATGGTTTTTATATCTTCTGATGGATCAACACTTCAAATAAAACACAGAAGAAGAAGAAGATATTGTAAATAATAATGTAATAAAACATGACAACACTAAAACCCAAAGATCTTCAGTTTACACTGATATAAAACAGAAAAGCAGCAATTCACATTAAAAAAATACATTAAAGTAAATAAAAAACTGGCGCCACCATGTTTGACCTTTGTGCTTCATAAATGACTGAAGCAATTAATCAACCAGTTGTTTTAGCTCCATAATGAACCTTGATTAGTTGAAGCGTCACAGTAAACATGTAGGTAAACCACCGCAGTTAATAATAACACAAGGACGACTTCTTCATTCAACAGCTGCACGGAGGCTTTTATTGTTGTAAGTGAGAATATCTGGCAATGTTTGTAAATGTGAAGAGGTTCAGCTGTGACTCACAGACGTGGGAGAAACAATTCATTTTACTATGTGTGTGTGTGTGTGTGTGTGTGTGTGTGTGTGTGTGTGTGTGTGTGTCCCTCTGACAGTTAATTATAGAGCCTCTGTGGTAAATGTATCACCTCCACCACCTTTTTTAAAGGTGACACTGAAACACAACTCTAACAATAATACACACAAACACTGATTAACCAACAACAACCAACATTTTTCACGGCAACAAACTGAATATTGTTGGATTTTGGATTGTTGATCAATCAAAATTGAATTATACTTATTACACATTTCTATAAACCTTTGCTGTTATGTATTTCTTTTTATATTTTTTGCAATTTTTGTTTAATATTTTTTGACAAAAAAACGGATTAATCAGAAAAAAATCAGATGAATCGATAATGAGAATAATGTTGCATCATTTTATATGTTTAATATGTAAAGATCTGCATCTGCAAAGTAACAACTCACTGCACCAGATTAATGTAGGAGATTAAAAACGCAGCCTTATCATTCAGTAACTTAAAGTAGAAGAGTCTCACCCTGCTCTCAGTTATGTGGAGAGAACTGCTTTTGATTTATTTATTAAGTAAATAAATAAAAACAATGATTTACAGCACAAACGTAGAAAAAGAGAAAATAAAAGAGTTTGAGAGAAGAGAAAGTGAAAGTGCAAAAAAAGATATTTATGGATATAATAAATATGATTTATATTTATTCATGTTTTCATCCCCTCGAGCCTCGACCCTGATTCTGCTACATCACTGTCGCCATGGGAACAGGTCCTGCCTTGTTAATTAAAGGTCTTAATCTCATCATCATATTGATTATCATATTGGGTTTTTTTGTTTTCTGTCACTGACTCGACAGCAGCAGGTTTTCCTCCAAAACCTTTATCATAAAATTTGTTTTTCTTTTTCCTGTGTTTTATTTGTTGCTGCAGCCATTTAATCCACACACACACACACACACACACACACACACACACAGACTTGTGCATTAGTTCTTACATGGCAGGATGTTGTTGTAACGGTTCTTTCCTCGGTTTTCTGGCACCCGGGCGACGTCCATGGTCTGGTTCCGACCCACATCCTTCAGATCCTGAACAAAAACGAGAGGATTCGTTCACAAGCTTCGTTATCTTCACGTAAATAAGGAACCAATTTTTTATATTAAGCAACTTTAAAAGAAGTTGCTTCAGATTCGAACCAGCACAGCGTCCAGGGGGATTTAAGACTTCTTAATATGCTCCCTGAGATATTCATATATGTCTTATTTCCCAGAATTCATATTAGATCATACGTTTTCTTGACTTGCAAAATGTGTGATGCTGATGTGAAATAACAGAATAATGTTAAACTGCGTGTTTTACCTCGAACTCCTCAGACAGCAGGTAGTTGGAGTCGGCCTGCAGCTTGTTCAGGTGAGACTCAAAGTGACAGGCTTTGATGGGACTGGACAGACAGGTGGATATCAGTCATGAAACAGACACATTTCAAGCTAATATTATTATTATTATCATTATTATTATTTATCTAAGCAGACTGAAGAGACTCTTACCTGGTGACCCGACGATTGCTGCAACAGGAAGAAACAGACAGTTAGTTATTACATCATCATTACTGTGAGTTAAAATAGTTAATTATTAGAGCCAGTTATTACAGTCCACTCTTCATATGATTGTTAATATTGATGAGGTTAATTATTAATGGTAATAACAGGTATAATAAAAGGGGGGGGGGGGGGGGGGGGAATGACAGCCCGCANGGGGGGGGGAATGTCAAAATAAAAAAATACCACTTTACTAACTAAATATATTAATCCCTTTATTATTATTGATTACCTGATTATTACTGTGTAATAACTGAAATGTAAAAGTTCAACAAAGAGTCATATTGTAATAATTAAAAATATATTTTTTCTCTCTATACTCAGTAACTTCATGTTTCAATCTGATCAAACGTGACATATTATACTTTTTTTCTTTTTTAATGGTCACTGTTACTAGATGTCTGAGAAAAAAAAAAATCAAAATATTCTTTATCTGTAAAATTTGTTTTATGAAGAAGTTCAACCCAGACGTGACGACGGGAACAATGAGACGGAAAAAAGAAAATTAAAAGCCATATTTCAGCTGAGAGAAGCTGCTGGGATCATTCATGGGAGAGTGACGATTTATATCGTGTCATTTTCTCCAGTCGTTTGGAAATGAAAACTGACTCAGTGTTTTCTGTTTCCTTGCACATTTTATTGTCAATAATTAATATTGTTTCTGTAACAGGAAATAACAGAGGAGCTTATTTTAGTTTAATGTTGTAACGACAAACTGTAACCTATTACAGACATTTCCACTTTAACTGTCTGTTAATGAGCTGTGTATACAAATATCTGCAGAGAGCACACACACACACACACACACACACACACACACTCTGAGTCATTAACAGCAGCTGTGGACTGTGGAGGTGAGTGATGAAGTCATCTGAGAGAGTGAGCACTTTACTGGAAACTAATACCTCACACACTCACATATTGGATGTAGGAGGTATTGGAAACTAATCTCTCACACACTGAAGGGAAATAATTATAGATCAAACAAGCACACAGACACACACACACACAGACACACAGACACACACACACACACACACACTCTCTCTCTCTTACCTCCTTACGCCCATATATATGCCTGAAGCTGGAACCTCTTTCCACATACTCATCCTCACCAACGGGTTCTCCTGCACAGCCCTGCACAAACACACACACACACACACACACACACACACACACACACAGCTGCACGTTAACACATTTACCTCATCACTTTTCCTCACATTTCATAAGTTCACAGCTGGTTTTTTTTAATGGAGGTCAACAGCTGTTTCCCAGTTCAGGGTCTCGTCCTTCGGAGGTTGCGTTTAAAGACCGACTGCGTCACAGCGGAGCGACTGGACCGCTCCATATTGAAGTCTCCTTTGAATGCATCCTTTGTTTCCAGGGCAACAACAGGTGGATCCTTCATGGCCCAACCTATCCTAAGATTCATAGCGTGCCGGTAATGAAAGCAAACAACACCAACAGAGAGTCTGAGGATTACACTGTTAAATGTAAGACTACATGCTCATTACTACAAGCTCCGTCCAGACCATCACACCTGAAGTGCAAAGATACCTGAGCAATCACGTACACTGGGCCGGTGTAAACAGCAAGTAGATTGTCTACTCTCCAGTTGATTAGTTGCAAAAAAGTCTCGAGGAAAATGTGACTGAACAGCAGCTGCTAGCAAAGACAGCGAGGTCAGTAACACTTGTATTTCGTAGTCGAGGCAGATGAGAGCCAATCAGAAGAGGCCGCGGGTGTGATGTCATCGTTTCCAAAAGTCTCTGTTTTTGCACGTCCAGACGACAAAGAAACCCCAGAGTTTTCAAAATAAAACGGGTCCAGCAGAGTTTCTAAAAGTCTCTTTTTTTCGATGCTCAAACCTCAAAACGAGTAACGTGGGCGGAGCCTAAGAGTTTCAGCTCAGTTCAACGGTACAACTGTTAAAAACAAGGGTCATAAAACTTCAAATCTTTGTGAAACAAAGTNCAATCAGAAGAGGCCGCGGGTGTGATGTCATCGTTTCCAAAAGTCTCCGTTTTTGCACGTCCAGACGACAAAGAAACCCCAGAGTTTTCAAAATAAAACGGGTCCAGCAGAGTTTCTAAAAGTCTTTTTTTCGATGCTCAAAACTCAAAACGAGTAACGTGGGCGGAGCCTAAGTGTTTCAGCTCAGTTCAGTGCATTTTGTCAAGGTTGCTAGGCAACAGGAGCCGAGCTATGCGATGCAACGGTAAAGGCGGGAACAGCTGGTGACTCCTCCGCGGTTACTAAGAGACACGCCTTCATAGGCCGAGCCCATCGTACTCACATGTACACAGAGTCAAAATAAATGTGTGTGTGTGTTTCTGTGTACTCACACTTTGCGAAGCCGCTGTCTGTAAACCAGCAGAGAGACGACGGCCACCATCATACCGATCAGAAACATCCCAGCGCTCAAACCCTCCACGACGCCACCTAGAGGCTCTGACACAGAACAACACACACGTCACAATCCTTGTTGCCTTTAAATGTCTCCTCGTTTCCTTCGCTCCTCATTTCCTTCACTCTTGTCTTAGGTGGGAGGGACTAATGAAGATGTGTGTCGTCTGATAAAGAAGGATGGTGTGTTAAAGTAAGTGTGTGTGTGTGTGTGTGTGTGTGTGTGTGTGTGTGTGTGTGTGTGTGTGTGGCACTCACCTGCATGTGTCCTGAGCGGTGCGGACAGGAAGGTGTCGGAGAAGAGCGGCTGAGGAAACTCACTGTGGTTCACGTCAAACAGTCTGGTGAAGGCTCGAACACTGAGCCTGAACACACACACACACACACACACACACACACACACACACACACACACACACACACACACACACACACACACACAGTCATTATAACTGAAGGGTGTTATATCAGCAGGATGTGTGTGTTTGTTTTCGTACCTGTACGATGTTTTGGCTCTCAGTGGTCCGTCACAGAAGTCGCCGTAGCTGTCGCTCAGATAGAGGTCGTCGTCATGGTAATGATCACAGGTGCCGCCCAGTCGGTCCCCTCCTGCCCCCAGGTTCACCTCCACCACCTGATCAATTATTGATCGATCAATTTGACTCATACAATAAATACAGACACGTAGAAACCATACTGTTTCTTTCCCTCAGTCTTTGCTTCATATTTTACTTTTCTTCTCTTTCCTTTTTACTAAAAGATTTAGCATTAGCATTAGCATTAGCATTAGCTTTAGCACATTAGCTGTTGGAGCAGTAACTGTTGCAGTGTTTACCTGTCCAGCAGAGGCCTCTGTGTCCTGCGGGCAGCGGCTGGGGAAGTACGCCGTCTGATAGGCTCTGACGGAGGAGTTGCTGATGTAGTCGCGGTAGGAGGGCAGAGGGTGGCGCTGCTCCGGCTGCAGGAGCTCATTGGCTGTTAGGAGAGGAGCGGGAACGATGAAGATATTTATAGACTCAGAGTACGACCTCCTGGAGCACGATGGAGGAGACTGAATCTGTTCATTGTGGGTTTATATATGATGTGTGGACATGCAGTGTAAAGATAAGTGCGAGTGTTTTCATTAGCAGTTCCTTGTTTATCTAAAAAATGCCAGAAATTGTGGAAAATGCTCGTCACCATATTTCTCAAGTGTCTAAACCCCAAAATATTCAACTGAAACCAGAGATCTTGTGCCATTCTCTGTGAATTCACGTTATTCAAAACGTTGGCGTTCGTACCGTCGGACTCGGCCACGATCACAGCGAAGTATCGCACGGCTCCGTTGGCGTCGCTGAACCAGGAGCAGTTGAAGCGAAACAAGATGGAGGACGACGTCACCTTCGATGACCTCTCGCTGACACGTACGCTGGCGGGCGGGACCGGAGGACCTGGGAGGAAACATTGGTTACACCGTCAATCAAATAAATACATAAACAGAAATATGGAGAAATGGAAGTCAACATGTCAACAACATTTTTTTATTTCAATAAATGTTTATTTATCCAAATTTCAAATGTTTGTCTTTTTGGTTAATTGTTAATAAGTCTTTAAAAAAAAAAAAACATACAGAAGCCCCTCCCACCCAAAAAAAAAGCTAAAAATAATCATAGTTGGTCAAAGTTTAATAAATAATAATAATAATATTAATAATAATAATACATTATAATTAAAAACCTCTGAATTTAATAAATCTGTCAACTTTTTTATTCTTAAATTATTCTACAAATCATAATGAATGAATATTTTACTTTATTATAAATACTAAATATTTTATTACTTTTTCATAGTTTTTGCTTTTTTTCTTAATATCACGACAGAAATGTATGAATATATAAATCATAAATCATTTCTTGGGCTCCGAACAAATACTAACAACTAACTAACTGATCCTGCTCTTTCATCTCCGTCGCTCATAAAAATAAAAACATTCTTGGGGATTTTCCAGAGTCACCCTTTGTTTTTTTTGTCTTTGTCTTTTCCTGTTTCCAGTCCAGTTGTGTCAGGATGATTTATAATGCGACGCAGGCGGAGAGAGGGAGGAGGAGGAGAGATGGATGTGAACTGAGAGGAACAAAGAGAAGATAGAAGAAGGTTGAAAAAGAGACGTGAGGAGAAAAGTTTTCAGACGCCATGTTTTGGGTCACACTGACTTTTTGAAAAAGGCCAAAGACGATAAATAAGCAGGTGACATTTCAAGATGAAGAGACACTGAATGTCTCGTTTTGTCGTTGGGAAAAGTTTTCCTGTAGAGAGCTGAAGTGAAACCAGAACTTCCAGGTTCTGTTCCAGAAGAAAGACAATCTCGAATAACTGAAGATCCAGATGTGGATCAGAGTCTTTGTCAACTCGCTTCATATGTTTCAATAAAGATGGAAAATGATCTAATGTTGTTTATTCAATATTTATGGGCTTTAGCCATTTCCCATCAGCCCCGGGTGTTCGCAGACTAAACGTCACAACTGGATAAAAGAGGAGAGTTCATGTCGAGCGTCTGTGGTGAGTTCACTGTCTGTAATAACAGCGGGACAGTCGAGCGTCTGTGGTTCAGAAAGAGCGTCGGTGAGTTTTAATCACGAACCCAAGTTACGATGTCGTTATTACCCACGCTGCCTTGCTTGTAGTTCTTTCATGGGAGCTGTAGTTTTCCTTTGCTCACAAAGTAATTGCTGTTTGACTTTGTTAAAATCACAAGAGTTCCCCTGCGAACATGATCTTTGGAGGGTGAAAATATTCACAATGTTATTTTGCCATTTTCTGGATCTTCATCAACACGGATCACGTCTAAAACTAAACTGTGCTAATGTAGCATTCAGGCACCATGGCGATTTATCACTATTTCACTCCGCCCACCTACCCACCCCACCCCACCCCCACCCCACCCCACCCCACCCCCGCCATGGTATAATGCTCACAGTGAAAAACAGCTTTCGACTTCTGGACAGAGTTAGAGAAGATTTGGATTTGTTGACAATAAATAAAAATAAAGAATAAAAGAATAAAAGCAGCTTTCTGTTAAATGAGCTGAAAGTAGCTGAGACCCTCGAAGCCTTTAGGATTTTACACAAACTAATATAAACTGGAATAAATCCTCTCCGGCTGTTCTGTTCCCTCTGCGTCTCCCAGGTGACCAGACCCATTTAAACACAAGTTTTATTTAAACACCAGACTCCACTGCTGCACCTGAGGGGAGTGTGTGTGTTGGTGTGTGTGTGTGTGTGTGGTGTGGTGTGTGTGTGAGAGTGTGTGTGTGTGTGTGTGTGTGTGTGTGTTGTGTGTGTGTGTGTGTGTGTGTGTGTGTGTGGTGAGAGTGTGTTTGTGTGTTGTGTGTGTGTGTGTGGTGTTGTGTGTGTGTGTGTGAGTGTGTGTGTGTGTGGGTGTGTGTGTGGTGTGTGTGTTGTGTGTGTGTGTGTGTGTGTGTGTGTGTGGAGTGTGTGTTGTGTGTGTGTGTGTGTGTGTGTGTGTGTGTGTGTGTGTGTGTGTGTGTGTGTGTGAGAGTGTGATGAGTGGTGTGTGTGTGTGTGTGTGTGTGTGTGTGTGTTGTGTGTGTGTGTGGTGTGTGTGTGTAGAGTATGTGTGTGTGTGTGTGTGTGTGTGTGTGTGAGTGTGTGTGTGTACACTCACGGTCTATCATGGTGACGGTGGTGTGTGTTGCCGGTGGACTCGTCTGTCCGGCCGACGACACCCTGACGGTCACAGAGTACTTCCTGTACGCCTCCAGGTGGTCCAGCGTTACCGCGGAGACGCCCCCAGCCAACCTCAGCACCGAGGTCAGCTCCCCGTTGTCGTGGCGGCGACACTTGACCTCGTAGGAGTCGAAGTCGGAGAGGGGGGGCGACCAGGAGCAGGAGAGGGAGGAGGACGAGAGGGGGAAGCAGTGGATGGACTTCAGAGGGGAGGGACCTGTGGGAAGAGAGGAGGAGACAAGGAGGAAGGAAGGAGGAGGGGAGAGGAAAGAGGAGAGAATGTAAGGGAATGTAAGGAGAAAGAGGAGAGGAGGAGAGAAGGGAAAGAGAAAAGGTAAAAGGTGGTTAGGAGAGAAGCAAAGGAGAGGAAACGAGGAGACAAGGAGAGGAGACAAGGGAAAAGGAGAAAGAGACGTAAAGGAGAGCATGAGACCCAGTGCGCCACTCCCCTCCCCCTCCCCTCCCCATCCGCTACACCTTAAGCTCTGTGATGATGGATGGAGCGCGGATTGGCGAGGTGCATTCGAGCAGCTTTGATCCTAGGACCTGTTTATCTCAGAACATGTGGCTCCAGACGAGGTATCCAATTAAACCAACTCGTTGCAGTCCTACTCTAATCGCATCACGTGTCTATTTTATTTTAAGTCTGTTGTTTTCGGGTTTTGGGTTTTGTTGGTCGATTAGCGCTTTTCTTGTGCGATTCGGAAGCCTGAGCAATGTGCATCGCTAGTGTGAACACCACGATCAGCCTCCGTCAGCCGAAGGGAACATGAGGAGAAGGAGAAAACAAGAAGGAGGAGACAAGGAAAGGAGACAAGAGAAGAGGAGGAGACAAGGAAAGGAGAGACAGGAAAAGTCCAGTGAGTTTTTATTTCTGCTCCTCTGACATTAAACCTTTTTTATTTCTGTCTGTATCTTCTTCTCGTTGCTGAGTCACAGTTTGTGTTTTTCTTTCCAGACGAAGGTCGAAACATTCAGCGTCTATTCAAACTAATGAACGAACGGAGCGTCTGCTGAGCGATGAGCGAGGGAACGTCCCGCGTTTATTTGTCCCGTTCAGACGATAAAAACGTCTCTTTCAGTGAAGACAAATGTGCGAGAGAGAGAACAGACAGATGAAGGTGAAGGAGGAAACATTCTTCATCTTCAGGCTCGGAGACGACGGACAATAAAACCTCATCAGAGGAGAAACACGAGTCGACTCCGTCACTGTACAGAGACATTTTGTGGACAAAACAATTAGAAAATGAATCATTAATGAAAACAGGAGTTAGTCACAGCCTTAAAAAGGATCAATCAGCCTTATAAAACTGGAAGCTGGTTTATAGTTTGCATTAGTGCGGAGCGTAAAAGCTCCTTTTAGCCATTTCCTTTTAGAGGTGCAGTTTGGCAGCCGAGTGCACTGCTCACTTACTGACCTGGAAAACCTCAGCACTTCTATACATCAACCTCAGACTTCCTACACATGTAGAAAAGAGGAAGTGTGGACACCAGGAAATGTAAGTTTTATAATCCAGATTTTAGTAGGATCACTGTCGAACAAACAAAATGAAAGTGCGTTTTTATTCAAAAATAAAGAAAAGAAGTTTATTAAAAGTCCAATATTTTCAGAGTGATTAATAAATTCTATTATTTATGCTTAATCATTAATGGTAAATGTGCTGCTCGTCAATTTAAGACACTAACCACAGTTCTGTGAGGTTTACATGTGAAGTTACTGAGCTTTAAATTGAGGTAAAATCAGGAGGGAATAGCTTCAAAACAGCCACTGCAGAAACGGGTTAACTTGATATATAAGTGACACAAAGTTGGCTTTTATTTTGGTACTTCCTGTATGATCTGGTCTGGAAAACATTTGATAAAGTTTTAACTCACAAAACTGTGTGTGCACTTCTTTCTCCTCTGAGTCTCTATAAATACTGCATCAACTCTTTGGCCGACATCAGCTAAAAGAAATCAGAGACGAGGTCAGCACATACATATTTATAAGTGTGTGTGTGTGTGTGTGTGTGTGTGTGTGTGTGTGTGTGTGTGTGTGTGTGTGTGTGTGTGTGTGTGTGTGTGTGTGAAGCCCTTGATTTGTTATTGCTTTTGCCGATCACTTTTGATCCCTGCGGCCAAACGAACAGATTGTGATTAAAAATGGATTGAGAGCCAGAGACACAGGCTGATCTGGGTGAGAGCCTTTGTCACGTCGCCATCTGGTGGTTAAAATGAGAAACACGTCTCTGGATCTGATCGTGTCTCTGAACTCCAGTGACCTTCACTGCTCCGATGCTGAATGAGTCATTGTTTTATTCATGAAAAAATGATTTGCATCTGCGTTTATTGTAATTCTCTTTGTGAATTCATTATTTAATAATCCAGGTTATTAAAATTATGTCTCATTCGTTGAAGAATATATTTATGAGCCAAAATGTTTTAGGGAATAAAATTAAATATATCACTTTCTATGTGACGCAGCAGGATCTTCAGCCTCATGTGACTGAGTGCACATGACGATTAAAATGTGTTTATTGTAAGTAAATGTTTAAAGATGTGTATGGCTCAAAAGGATAAATAAAAAAATGCAAATTAAAACTACATTTTTAATTACGACCTCATAAACTAAAATTCAAGAAACTGAATGACTTTAGGGTTAGAATTTTTTAACACTCACTTGTCCTGACGCTCCTCTGGATTGGCTCACTCCTCGATGTTGGCCCGGCTCTGGCTCCGCCCCCGCTCATGGTCATCAAGGTGAAGTTATACTGTCGCCCCGGAAACATGTCACCAACAACGCACCCGGTCAGCTGAGTGTGTGTGATTGACAGGGGGTCAGGAGGAGTCCACTGAAGGCTGAAGTTATCGTAGTCCCCGGAGGCGGGACCAGACCACGACAGTGCTATCGTCTCATTGGTTGGGCCTTGTTTGACGGACAGGTGAGTGGGAGGATCTGGAGCTGGAAAGAGAAAATACAAAAGTATTTACTGCTAATTATTAATAACAGTATTAAATATCAATAATTACAACAAACGTAATTCTTTATTTATGTTCCTGTGTGTTTTTTGCTTGACTTACAGGTGCGCCCAAAAGCTGAGACACTATTGGTCAGCTCCCCGCTGTGTGTGATGACCTCAGCGCGGTACAGCCTACCAGGTGTGAGGCCGGGGAACACGTGACTCTTGTGCTCCGCCCCCAGCGTCTGAGCTCCCAGCGTGGCTCCAAAAACATCGTACAGTACGACCTGAAATCACAACGGAACAACGAATATTACTTTTGGCACTTTTAACTCTGTTTTTGGTCTCTACCAACTCCTTAGCCTGCGGATACTACTCCTGATTCCTGCTGCCTACTTTTTATTTACCAGATCATTTTGATGCGATGAGAACACATACCAAGGTAGAGTTGTTTATTTAGTTAATCAGCCTCATTTGACCAACAGCTTCATATTTCGAGAGAATAATGAGTCATTCAGTTTGACTTCCACTCGATACTTGAAAACTCAATCTGCTCAATACATGTAGGAAGTCCACACCCGATGTTCTGAGGGAAAATAACACTTGAACGTCCCGTCACGAGTCTTGGCACGAGTGTGAGATCAGAGCTGTGAGCCAACAATATGATTTCTAATGTAAATTCAGCTGCTGGAAAGACGTCACGAAGGAAATACAGTGTCGTCTGAAACAGTTCTCACCATAACTTGCCATTTTCTAGAAAATTTTGAGCGTTTTTGTTATTTCCCAGGATTTTTTCCAGTGCCTCCCATCTGTGTGTTTACCTGATAGCCGCTCCAGCTCCCCTCGCCGTGCTGCCAGCTGACCGTCAGTCTGTCCGTCCGTCCTGAGCTCTGAACCAGAAGAGACGAAACTGGAGACGGGACTGAAGAACAGAACAGAAGAAAAGATGAAGATGATCCAAAACAAAAAAGTTAATGTAACCATCTGTATCTGTTGTGTCAATAATAATAAAATGATGATGATGTATCGACTGACCAGTTCTGGCGAGGACGGAGGAGTCGCTGTTCATGCCTCTGCTCCAGCTCACCACCTGCAGCCTGTACAAACTTCCTGCTCTCAGTCCGGAGAACACACAGCTGTCTGCGGTCGGGCCGACCTTCTGCAGGTCCACCGGGTCCCCTAGACCCTGAACACACCACACAATATCACACCAGGTCCCCTAGACCCTGAACACACCACACAACATCACACCAGTTCTGACACACCTGTATGACCTGTCAGGCGTCAGTCTGTGAGGATCAAAGCTCCACCCACCTGGTGATGCTCCTTCCTGCTCCCTGCAGCATCCGGCCTGTGATTGGCTGTTGCCTCGGCGACGCTGTAGAGCGACAGGTCATAGATTTCGACGTGGCCGTCTGAAGGTCGCCAGGAGAAGGAGAGCGAGGAGGTGTTGGCCGACGTGACCGTGAGGTTACTGACTGCAGCCGGACCTGGATCAGAGGAGGACAGAGTTGGTCTGAGTTTTAATTAATTGATTAATTGATTAATTTATAAATGATCTCGTGTATGTGGTAGTGACTCACGTGTTTGTCCGTCCGCTGTGGCCTCCAGAGACGGGACGCCGCCGCTCAGCGTCACCAGCCTCACACTATAACGCTTCCCTGAGGTCAGACCTTCGAACCGCTCGCTGCGACTCTCCACTGACACCGACCGATTGGCCGCCATGGCGCCGGCCTCGTCCAGCAGCTGCAGACTGTAGCTGTCGTACACGCCCACCGGCCGCTCCCAGCTGACGGTCAGGCTGTGGGTGGTGTGGTCATTATCCGCCTGCAGGGCGGTGACACTGGCTGGAGCTGCAGGAGGACACACACACACACACACACACACACACACACACGCACGATAATCAGTATTAACATACTCATATACATTGATTTTAATCTCATCCATCGTTCAGTCTTACCTGTTCTACCGGTGACCGTGTTTGTATTGGTCAGCTTCCCGCTCAGTGATTGGATGGTGATGGTGTAGGCGTGGCCTGGGATCAGATCCAGGAAGTCCAGAGAGGAGACGTGTTTAGGGACAGGACGACTCTCGACAGCGACGCCGTCCTGGAAACAGGAAGTAAGAAGATGAGTGTTTTTTATTAGCGACAGCCGGACGATCATCTAATCATTTATCTATCTATCAATGCATCGTCTATTTGTTTTGCTCTTCCTGATACGTGCAGCTGGACTGACCGTGGTCGTCAAGGAGACGATGTACATGTCCAGGTCTCCGTGTCCGGGGGTCCAGGTGACCAGGAGTCCACCAGCAGAGTCCTTCAGACCACGTTGAGGAGCCATGTGGAGGTTTCCTACTGGACTGGGAACTGGAGAGGAGAGACTGGATTCATCAGAACTGGATCCATTAAACTCTGAAGACAAATCATCAGTGATGTGTAAAGTCCTCCCACCTGTCCGTCCCTCGATGAACTGCGCTCTCTGGTTTGGTCCGCTGAACGTCGACACCACGATCTTATAGAGACGCCCGGGGGTCAGAGAGGTCAGCCGGTGACGCCGCAACTCGCTGCCCAACGTGACCGGAGGGAAAACCCGAGTGTCATTGAAGAGCAGAGTGACCTGGAGACAAGAAGTGAGGACGATACTAAAACCCCGGCAGCTCCAGCAGCGCCCCCTACAGGCTACAACACTCACAACACACATACAGGCTTTACTTATCACACCTCATAATGGTCCACATCTCCATGGGCGGGGCTCCAGGCCACAGTCAGATCACCTGTCCCTGCGTTGCCTAGCGACAGATTTCCAACAGCTGCTGGAACTGAAGAAAAAAAACCGAGACATTCGCTTTAAATCCTCCAGAAAAACAAAAAAACACGTTAAACACGTGTCATGTCAGTGACTCACAGGTGCGTCCGTCGGTGGAGACGCTGCTGACGTAGCCTCCGCTCCAGGTTTCCACGGTGACGGTGTAGAGTCTTCCCGGCGTCAGGGACGAGAAGTCGCACTCGCTGTGTCCGGTGGAGACGCTCTTGTTCTGCAGGACGCTGTGGTTGTAGCGGATCAGAACCACGTAACGGTCCAGATCTCCTGCCGCGTGACGCCAGTACACCTGAACACAACATAACACTGCTGTCATACTACTGTAGTACCGATGGTACTGACAATACTATTAAATAAATAAGAATTATTTATTTTAATTAATAATTTTCAGGTAAATTCTATAAAAAATTGAAAAACATTTATTAGTTAAATGTATCTGTGAATGTGTAAATACATGTGAACAGACAGTGTATTTACACAAACACAGAAATAATGAATAATTGTTTTTTTATTGTTTTACATTGATTATTGTTGTCAATATTTTCTTTCTTTTGTTATTTTTTGTCTTGTCTTATCAAAATCAATAAAACTAACCAGTCAAAAAAAATTATACAAGACAAACATATGTGGGAGTAAATGGATATGAATTCAATATCCATACAAAACTATAATACTAAAAAATTATTTTTTTTAATTACAAAAATAAAAATGTAAAAATAATAAAAAGTTATGATGACAAACACACCTTAAGGAAGTCGTCTCTTGCAGAGTGAACAGCTGTTGGGTTTTGCACAGTGGCAGGTTCTGTAAAACAAACAAGAAAATAAAGAAGAAAATTTTAAAATATATTTATATAATAAAGCCTATTATTATAGCTATATAATTATATATTATATATATTATATAATTATAATTATATTATAATTTTAAAAAATACAACATTCAGATATGTTTACTATCATATCGACACAGTTTGCTTTGTTACTTGAGGTAAGAGTTATGTAACTGTTAATACAATACAAAGCCTATAGAAATAAACTCATTAAATTTAACTGTAAACTCCAATGCACGTGCCAACTATGATAGTACAAACATACATGTAAATACAAGTACAGTAAAACACAATTAACATAAATATAAAATGAGTAAATTATCCCTCCTTACGTGTTCGTGCTTGAACCGTGGTGGAGTTCTCCAGGCTGCCGCTCCTCGTTACTATGACAACCGAGTACAGTCGCCCGGCGACCAGCGAGCTGAAGGAGCACTCGGGCGGCGAGGAGCGCGACACGGCGAGCGTGTGGACGGTTTCATCCCGCTCCTGAAGACGGACCAGGTAACTGTCCACCACGCCCACCGCCGGACGCCATGACACATGCAGAGCGTCCGATTTGCCGCCGTTAGCAACGGTTACCTCGGACACGGATGCTGGGTCTGAAAGAAAAAGAAGATTTTCTTTATAATTCTTGAAAAATAAATTTATAAACAAGAAGTGGTTTGAGTGGTGTGAAAAAAATTAAACATATAAAATCACACATCAGTACACAAATTGTAAATAATATAAACAATACAATAAATTCATAAAATAAATAATATTGTAATGCGAATTTAAATTTAAATTTAAATTTATTTTCTTAAAGGATTAGTACAGTCAGACTCTGTTCATTTACAATAACATCAGTGACGGTTTTCATAATGTATCTACCATTCTCCACATCACCTCTATTACTGTACAAGGGTCGTATTTCAGCAAGCTAACGTTAGCTTTGAGAGTTAGCTACACAACTGGCTGAGGGGTGGTATCATACTCTGACCATTACACTGAGCTAATACAAAGGAACATAGTCCGTATTTAAATGCCATCTATTGACCAATAGAAGGTCATCTGAGGAGGCTTGGGGCGGGGTTTGTTTTGCCAACGTGTTACACACACACACACACACAGTCTGTCCTGAAAATAACTGGGACATTCTGTGGGAACACAATAGGTTCTCTGAGCAGGAAGGTGTGTGTGTGTGTGTGTGTGTGTGTGTGTGTGTGTGTGTGTGTGTGTGTGTGTGTGTGTGTGTGTGTGTGTGTGTGTGTGTGTGTGTGTGTAGCCTTTGAGCAAGGCGTCTTTGTGTGTCTGGAACATTCCAAACTTTCCTTCTGGTATTTCAGCTATTGTTCTAAAGACTCTCTGATGTTATCACGTAGAAATACACAGACACAGACACACACATTCACTCACACACACACACACACACACACACACACACACACTGTTCTCATATAAATCCATAAAGGTTTAGATAATAAACTCTAAATGTCCCAAAACAGCAGACACAGTCATTCTTTTCTTGATCTTGGAAATAGCAGTTTAACAATTAGTCGTTCACTTACTCGCTTTTTCAAGAGCTTTCAACTGAATCTCATTGTTGATAATGTTTTCTGATGCAGTTAAAGGGTTGTATTTGATTACGATCAGTTCAGAAACACATGATCAATAGCTGTTCATATGGTACAGTTTTTTTTTTTCATTAACTGTATCTGACTCAATGAAGTCATGAATTTAACATTCGTACCAATATTTTCTCTGATTTATTATCAAGCCTCTGTAAACAAACACTTCCAGGACATCTTCTGTGCTCTGTTATTTTACAGCGGAGCAGACAGCTGTATCTTCAGACGGTGACATGCAATGTAAACTGTTCATATTTATGTTCTGTCTGAGGACTGTGCACTCTTTGGTCACTGAGCGGGTCACTGAGTTTTTTCCTGTTAAGCAGCAGCTGAATGTGTTTGAAGGGAAACAACACAAATCCTGAGTGGGGATATTGTCTCTACACAATAAGAGCCCAACTGACCGGCAATCAAACAGTCTTATATAACTGAGAGGAGAGTGTGTGTGTGTGTGTGTGTGTGTTATTATTCTGGCTTCTAGTAACTGAGGAAAACAAACTGGAAAGTCATATTTTCGTTAATCATTTTTTTCTCATAACAGATAAAAACAGGCAGTAAAAATTGTGGTTAATGCAAATTGTAATATTTCAATCATCACATCGGATTCTGTTGAATACATGCATGAAAAGTAAAAAACAATGTGTTTTTAATGATGAACAAAGATCAAATAATGGTAAATAATGGTAAAGCTTTATTGTACTGGTAATATCCTATTCATTTATTTTAATTCTCCAGATAAGAACTATGAAATTTGGAAAACAGCTTTCAGTCAGTAAAATTCCAATTAATTAATTCCAAAGAATTACAAGTACAACCAGCAACATCTTTCTTTAACTCTCCATATTTATCATTTATTAGAACTGTATTAACATGTAGTAAATGGTTTATAACACACTGCACTGCATCTGTATGCAGATATAAGGATGTTTTATGTGTTTATTAATGGTTAATTAATAAATTGTCCACAGCAGGAGTTATAGTTATTAACAAATACATTAATGGACGTTTATGTCTTTGTATAAAACAATATAATATAGTTATAAAGTGACGTGTTACCATAGAAAACTGAATAAAGTTTCCAAAAATAAATGAACAATTATTTCTTTGTATTTAAATAGGGTCATTTTCTCATATTCTCTGAAATAAAGTGTTTCCAAAAAGTAAACAAACAACAAATTTAATCAGCTCAGCCTGCAGGAGAACAAAGGTTCAAATATCAGATTCAGGTAAAGGAGTCTCTCACCTGTGCGTCCCTCCAGCCTGGTGCTTTTAGACTGCAGCCCCCCGCTGACAGTGGCAGCCTGCAGCCTGTAGAGGGCGCCGGGCGTCAAACCAGAGAGCAGCAGAGAGGAAGAACCGACTGCAACACTGACGTTCTGAACCACAGCGCTGTGGAGGAGGAGGACGACTGTTTAGTGTCCACACTCATGACAATAAACATCTTTTAAATCTTTTTTTTTTCCCGCCATTTTCCATCATCAACAACATCCAGTTTCCAGTTTAATGTAAAAGATTGTAAACACACACACAAATGATTCCTCTCTTCTTATCTGACAGAAGTTGAATATTTCCCTGAATAAATCTGGTTCACACACACACACACACACACACACACTCACACACCTGTCTTGCAGCAGCGTCAGTATGTACAAGTCCACGCCCCCTGGTGGTTTCTCCCATGATGCCTGGAGGCTGTCGACTCCTGAGCTCCTCAGAGTGATGGCTTGCAACGCCATGGGAACTGCAACACACACACACACACACACACACACACACACACACACACACACACACATGGACCAGGGCCTTCAAAAGCATCTTAAACATTTACGTCTTAGCAACCTCTGACAACGATCAGCTTCAAAGACTTTTTGTTAAATTCTTTCATGGCACTGAGGAAAAAAAACAAAACAAGGTGCATGTTTTTAAAAACTTCGTAATAAGTTGAACTTTTACAGTTCTAGTCCTTGAATTCCCAGAAAAAATGGGTTTCTCAGTAAAAGTTTGAAAATAACTAAATAAATGTATTTACTCTTTTAAGGTGAATTTCTAAAACAATAATTCTGTTTTATGAAGCGTTTAGTTCGGCCTGGACCCGACCTTGATTCTAGCTTCACCTAAAGCTGACCAAGTCTTTAAGGTAACATGTGAAGACACATACCTGTCCTTCCCTCCACAGACACAGATGTGTTCAGTTTCCCGCTCCTGGCTGTCACAGTGATGGTGTAGCGTCTCCCAGGTGTGAGGATGTTGAACGTGCACTCCCTCATGTTAGGCTCCACCTCCCTGGTGTCCACGGTGGCGTTATCTACGGGACACAGGACGGAATAATTACAATATGTCGGCCAGCTCTTACCTTTGGTTTGGTTTGTCAGTGAGACGTTAATGATTACCGTGGCTAATGGTGAGGAAGTAGCTGTCACGTGACCCAGAGGGGGCGTGGCTCCACATGGCGCTGAGCGAGGTCTCGTCCGAGTGTCGAATGTGGAGGTCCAACGCCGGAGCAGGAGCTGCATGAAGAGAGTTTAGGTTCAGGTCTGAATATTTCTGTACTGATGTGTATTTGCTGTTATATATTTCCACAGTAATATGTATTATATGTATTTTGTCATATTTTTGCATGAATGCATTTATTCAGTCACACCTGTGTATTTGTTGTTAGGTGTAAGTATTTCCTGTTCTTTATTTTTACAGTAGTTTCACCTGTTGATCCTTCACAGCTGCTCTCAGCCGCCAGTCCTCCGCTCTCCACCATCACCACGGCTCTATACGTCCTCCCAGGCGTTAGACCCGTCCCAGGGAAGACGAACCTCACCGCCTCACGGTCCAGAGTGGTGTTGACTAACTGCTGGAAGCCGTCGAACAGGAACAGCCTGTAGCTCTCCCAGTGGCCAGGAGGGGGCGTCCAAGACAGGAGGAGGTCTCCGGAGGAGGAGGGAGACAGCGAGAGGAGGGACGCCGCTGCTGGAGCTGGAGACAAGAAACGAACATGATGAAGAAAAGAGGAAAAAAGACAAGAAGAAGACAAAAGAACAGAAATGAAAAGAAGAACTCACCTGTGCTGACGGTGCTTTCCGATTGGCTCGTCAGCTCGCCACTCCTGGACGTTACTGCCACCTGATAGGTCGAGCCGGGGGTCAGCTGATGGATGGCGACCTCTGTGGCGTCCGACGGAAGCGTCGTCTCCCAGCGGCTCGTGCCATTGGTCGAGAAGAGGGTGACAATGAGCGCGTCCAGGTCACCTTTGGGCCGTTGCCATGACAACAGCAAGCTCGTGCTGTTGCTAAAGTCAGTGGTGAGGTTTGAAACAGCAGAGGGAACTAGAGAGAAAAAGAAACAGATATAAAATATCTTTCTTTCATCCCTCTCTCTCTCTCTCTCTCTCTCTCTCTCTCTCTCTCTCGGCACGTACCTGTCTGGGCCTCGACCATCCTGCTGTTCTGCAGATCGCCGGCCTCCGTCACCACGGTAACGTTGTACAGTCTCCCGGGCGTCAGGTCGTGGAGTGTGTGTTGTGTCGTCGTGCTCTCTAACGTCTCGTTCTTCAGCAGACCTGCAGACACAGAGGAGAAGAAGAAGAAGAAGGAGGAAGGTTAAACAAATGGTCACATGACTCTCTAGCAGCTTGTTTATTGGACAGAATGTTGGTTTATGTAACAAACTAAAAACAAAGAACGTTTGTAGTAAAGTAAAAAAAGTAANAGAATGTTGGTTTATGTAACAAACTAAAAACAAAGAACGTGAACAAGTAAATCGTTTGTATTTTTTGTATCATTGTAGATTTTTTGTCTTGTGCTGTTTTGCATGTGGTGTTTTGTTGAGTTTGATTTGTGCTGCATGTAGCATACAGTTAGCTTAGCTTTGTTAACTTCTGCCCCTGAACTTGAGCCCACAGTTTTATATAAAACAAACACTTTCGAGTTTGTTGGTCAGGAAACAAACAATGATCAGCTCGTGACGACAGAGCTGCAGAGTTGGGTGTTGATTCTCAGTTGGATCGGCAGGACTATCAACTGCTTATATCACAGTCATTTACTTAGACAGTGATAAAATTAAATACAGAATGCTGTTGAATGGTATTTGGTAAATGCAATGGTACTTTTATTGTATCACTGTTTGAGTTCATGTTATATACCTGTTTCTATACACATAAACATGAAGAGTATTCATAAAGAAGCGGACTGATACAGACTCTGAGGAGGTTCCCACAGCTGCAGCCTGAAGCGCTCCGTCCTGCCGGGGCCGGCCTGCCAGGAAAGACCCAGGCTGCAGCAGGTCCTGGAGGTCACTGCCAGGCCGCTCACCGCCGACGGCCCTGAAGCAACACAACGTACACAGTCAGGAAATAGTCGCTTTAATAAACACAACACACAACTATATTATTATTCAAGTCATAGTTAAAGGCGTTGGAAGTGAAAATGTAGAGACCACCAGTGATATTTTTGGAAATCACCTTGATGATGGAAACCAGTTTCATCTCTGTGTGTGTCCAGGACTAAATCAGGTCAAGAACGTGACCTAGCTTAGCACAAAGGCTACATGGAAAATCTACACAGTTTCCCCAAACAGTGGGACTGTTCCTTTAGAGTGATTTATCTGTTTTGACCGTGAGGTTCAGTCAGACAGGAAAAGGATCCAGCTCCTCAAATCTGTGGCCTTGTCATCAAAGTGTGAGCACTGTGGGAGTCCTGACACACTGAACACACACACACACACACACACACACACACACACACACACACACACTAAAAACACCATCCGCCTGTTTAAGAGCCCCCTGCTTCCCCTCAGCACTCTGACCGGGTTAAGTGTTTGTATTTGTGCCGCCGTGTCGCCGCTGGCGCTTCAAACTGAGGTGGAACAATATTATCAGGCTGCGACATCTCATCTCTGCCCTGAGTGACACAGAAACAAACAAAACCATTTTCACCATTTTCAGTCGGGCTGCGGAGGTTTCTGTCACTGACGGTTTATGGACGTGTGAAAAGAAGCAGAAGCTGCGTTTGGAGGGAAATCACAGAGTTTGAAGAGTCCACCACTCTAGATGAATTTCAGCCACTTTAAAACTGAAGCAATGTATTTTTATAATGTATTAATTAAGGATTAAATGAATCTGTAATTGAAAAGGTGTCACTGTGAATTTGCAGCCTCTTTTAGCAACTAGTTTTGGTTTTACAGCACATTTCTTATCTGGTTCAGACTCAACACTTTAACCCCCCACCTCTCATTATGTCTATACAGTCATGAACAATACAGTAAAATACAGTAAGAATCATTTATTATTTATTCATCTAAGACTTTGATTATAAATATTTATTCATGAATGAATTACTTATTTTATTCTCATAATGACAGCTGATTAAAACGCCATCATCTCCATTAAAGGCCAAGCGATGCGGCTGAAAGCTCCAGAAAGAAATCTAGTCGGGGGACCTCGAGTTAAAGGTCCCATATAGTCTGAAGGTAGAGGATGCTCGGGAGCAGGTGGAGACCAAACACAGAGCTAAAAGAAAGAGAGATTCATCAGGTGACACAAACACCACAACACATGGATGATAAGGAAGAGAGTAGTTTAACACGTTGACCACGTCTACATGTCTGACGTGGTGCGCTCAGCTCGTCCTGCCGCCCCCAAGTGGCCAAACAGTTCATTACTGCAGCTTTGAAGTTAAACAGGTAAAAATAAACCAGCAGGTTGTGTGAAGTTCTGAAGGTCATTGAATGCAACAGTCAGTGTCTCCAAAGATAAGGAACCACAAACACCACAGAAGAAGTGTTTTGCATCGCTGAGAAGGTTAAAGTCGGGTGTCGACTGGGCGCAGTAACACCCCGTTTCCTCCGAATGCAACACACACACACACACACACACACACACACACACACACACACACACACACACACACACACACACCCTCACGCCCTTTTCCCAGTGCTTCCCACAGAACAAAGGAACAATGGAGGCAGGAAATGGCTGAACCCTGAGCTCTGCCCACGATGGAAATACACACTGAGGGTCCAACTTCTGTTCTGGACGCCCGCCACTGTGGACACAACACACACACACACACACACACACACACACACACACACACACACACACACACACACACACACTTTCATGTACTTTTACTGCTCTATCATTCTCTCTCAGCAGGGCAGTGGTTCCTGTAGCTAATCACAGAGCTACAGAGAGGGGAAGCTACATGACATTAACTCTGAGACACACACACACACACACACACACACACACACACACACACACACACACAAAGAGTCGACGCGACATGGAGGTCGTGTCGTGTTCCTTTACTTCAAACGAGCAGAGGTCAGAGGAGATGGAAACAATAGAACAAAACAGAACACAACAGTAAATACTGAGAAGTGAATTCAGACGTCTCCAACAGGTAACATGGCAGGTTGTCACAGGTACAGGTGTGTGCAGCCACACCTGCACAGGAACATAAAACCCTCAGATGCTCCACAACAGTGTGCTAACGAAGTATCACGTGCAGCAAATGAATGTTGTAGGTGATTAAACTGCAGGAAACTCTTTACATTAGCTGATCAACAGGAAATTAAACGGCGGCCATTTAATTTTTAACTGATGAAACCAGTCGACATGTTACAGCTTCTCTAGTGAAAGGTTTTGGAGGGAAATCGAATCTTTTGGTTGTAGATATTTGCTACCAGCGTTTTTCACCCTTTTATGACATTTTGTAGAAAATATTTGTCAGATTGTTAAGAAGGAGTTTGAATAATTGATTGATCGATCACTTATAAGACACAACACCTGATCCATTAGTTTCTTCCATAGTTTTTCTTTGATTGTTTTAAAGTTGAAAAATTGATGAACAACGACAATTCAATCATCAAACAGTTGATACTTAATTATCTGTCCACTGACTAATAGATCAATCGCTGCAGCTCTAGAATCGGCCTCCCTCAAGTAATTCAATCTATATTGATCGCATGTTTTATATGTCAAACATTTATCTGGGATGTTGCTATAACTACAGCCCCCCACCCCCCCCACCCCCCCCAGGGAACCGAGCCATCGATAATGCTATTGGTTCCACCTGTTCATGGGAGAACGTGGAACAGATCAAAACAAATACAAACAAACAGCGACTTCAGATCGTTGGACTAAAATTAGACAAAGTGTTAATGACGTCATTAGACAGCGTGTTGTTTTGACGCTACACACACGTGTTTGTGTTTACTCTGCTCACTTACTGGTGTGCAGCGTGACGTTCAACGTCTCCTCGTCTTTCTGGGATCGAACCTGCAGCTGGTAGGCGGTGCCCGGCTCCAGGTGATCCAGCACACAGGTGAAAACATCTCCGGCTCCCTTGTTTCCTCCGTCCTCGACTCCTAGCTGGTTGGTTCCCAGAGAGTTAGCTCCCGTCTCTTCCTCCTCCTCCTCCTCCTCCTCTCCTCGCTCCCGGCCTCCGATCTCATTAGTCTCCACCTCCTCGTCTCCTCTTCTTCTCCTTTTACACTCGGCGTTGTCTGCTCCGGAGTCCAGTGACGTCACGGCGAAGGAGCAGTCCCGTCCAGGTGTGTGAACAGTCAGTGATATGGAGTCCAGGCCGGACACCGGGTCAGATGCAGAGATGCTACATGGGGCGGACTGGTCCTCTGTGGGAGCGGCTCTGCTCACATCCTGTCAGGAGAGATGAAGTAAACCAGGATTATGAATGTGATCGAACCCACATAGTCCCACGTCTCGGTCCTTTAGGCCCAAGTCTGGCCCATATACCTTCACATCTGGGCCGGAGTTTTTCTGTGTGTGCACCAGACATGGTCCAGATGTGGAAGAAGCACCTGACCAACATGAGGTACATGGGCCATACCTGCGTTTACTGGGCCAGTAGAAAACAGAGTATGGATTTATTTTGCTGTCTGGGAAAGAGTTGGAGAACAGAAACAGTTTTTATTATTAACACTTTCTCCAGTGATTTGGTGACACCAGGATAAAATGTAGTTTAATTGAATTTAAATTAATTTCCGCTCTGGGATAAATAAAGTATCTATCAATCTATCAATAGGAACATTTGTATTGCAGCTCCACAATAAAATAAGTAATATTCTCCGATAGATTCAACACAGTAGGTCACATTTCCAACTGTAAAAGGAGTAGAACTGTATTTCTATGAAAACAAAGACCTGTTTATTCCCTTGTGTGTATTATCAATAAAGACAAACAGTCATTTTAATAAACATTTCAGTAAATCTGTGGATCGCCGGGATCAGATCATTTCTGTCGTTCAGTGATGGACGAACTCTCATCCACACTTTTGTTTCCACCCATATTGATTACTGTAATTCCAGCTCCAGGAATCGATTAACCGCCTCCCACTTCTCCAAAATGTGATCACTGTTTTAGTGAAGCTGTCCGTGACACACTGAGCGCGCTGTGGGGATGGACAGCCGGTCAGTAGATTATGCTGCAGGAGGTGGACTGACAGACGTCAGGAGACCAGCGTCTCATCTCAAACTCCAGACGTTGGGTGGAGCAGCTCTTTGATCCCATTGTTCTGAAAACATTTCTGAGGACCACGACTTTAGAAATACTGAGCTCCACCCTGCGATGAAAGGTTAACCAGCCGCCAGAAATATCCACAAGTTTTCCTTCATATTTGATGTTTTCTCACTTTCTCAATATTCGAGTCACTTAAAATGTGACTGTGTGAAGGTTGAGATGCTTTAAAGACTGAAAGCTCCATATTTTACTCTTTGTTCCTGTGTTTAATTTGAAGTGTTGATCCATAAGATATATTTGATGGTATACTTTGACAGTATTTATATCTAAACATCTGCCTTTAGACTGGATGGAGCTTTAACTTGGTGGGTCAGCGTGCTACTTCAACTGTCTCAAACAGCCGTTTCCCTTCGTTTCCAGTCTTTATGCTAAGCTAACCACATCATTACTACAGATCTGTAGACTGAGATCCATCTGAACGTCTCTGAATAAAAGAGAGACTTCCACTCGTAACTGATTTAGACTCTAACTCATCTTGCTTTCTTTAATTTCCCATTTTCTCTTCATCTTCCATTAACAGAAGCATATTTGGATCTAACCTCAGTACAGCAGACTGAAAACTGCTCAACAGTTTCATCTGGAAGCATTTCACTAATCTTAAAATGATGGGAAACAAAACTCACGACAACTATATTCTTTTAATATTGGGATATTTTTGATGAAAATATGCAAAAAGCCTTTAATGTTGATGATGCCATAACGCTCTGAACAGACCGCTGTGGGAGTTCATCAGCTGCAGCTATTTAAGGAACTGTAACCGCAGTGTTTGTTCATATTTATCACTTCTGGGGTTTGACCGTTCAGCTGACCTCTGACCTCCTGCATGTCTGAGTGTTTGTGCAGTGAGCGACGATACAGTGACAGCAACAGTTGTTCCGAGCTCTGTAACCTTTAATACTGGGAAGCAGAACAGAAAATAAAATAATTTGTCACTGATAATGAAGTTCAGGGAGTTCAGAGACAATAATGCTGCAGGGAGGAGACACGGACAGATAAACAGACAGGAAGAGAAGGAAATGACAGCCGAGGAAAATAAAACTGTATAAATATTAGTGTAACACGCAGCACTGTTCAAACCCTGCAAGCTCTGAAATCTGAGTAATGATCACACTTACATTCATCCTAATTATTCAATCATCATAGCATTAAAAATCCAACATCATATGGAAACGCAGAGATAAGTCCAGGTCATGTTTAGCTTAGCTTAGCACAAAGACTGGAGGAAGGGGGAAACTGCTAGCCTCCTGCTAGCTTCACCAAAACTTCTAGTAATCAGGTTGTATATCCCGACTGTTCATAGTTACACACACAGATGTCATAGCTGCTGCCGGGTCGTGATTCTCAGTCCGATCGGATTGGTGCTACCAACCCCTTCTACCACACTGCACACAGCTGAATGTTGCTTCTGTGTTCGGGGTTTTACTGGCACTTTTATTGTATCATCATCTGTTTTGGTTGAACTTTTTTTATTTTACTGTTGAGTTTTACATATTTTAAAAAGGGACATTAGGAAATTAACTTTGGCTCTATTGTAAATGTGGCATTTGTTCATGCTGTGTTTTTGCCTCTTTTACAAATAAACATTAAATACATTAAAATCATAATCAAGGTTTCTTTGTACAGTAACTACAAGGTGTCATCAAACAAGACACAGTTTTCTTCCTAAAACAAGCTTCGTAACAAGTTATTCACAGTTAAAAAGGATCTGAAAGCTCAACATCAGGAAGGAAAACAATCATATAAAAGTTGTTCCATAGAGAATAATGCAAAGTGATTCCACTGCAACTCGCTGCTCAACAAAAGCCAAATTTCACACGTTTTCAGCTGAAAAGTAAAACTGTGTGATTTAATTTAAAGTACTTCTGCTCCTCCACGTCTGAATCTTTGCAAAGCTTCGTTTACCGCCACAATTTCCAATTTAATGACTGTGAATAGTCAGTGAATGTAAATGAACATATTCAGTTTTGGAAGCAGAACAATGGATTTGAAGCAAAGCTGCGGCGTTGTTTTCAAGAAGATATTTTTTTGGTATTACAACAAAAAAATGCAAAAACTATTTTCACATATTGGAGACAGTGATACACTTACAAACTGGAAACTGGAATTTATCTTTGAACAAACAAGTTATTTCAGCTGCAACAATTAGTCAATTGACGGAAAATTAATCAGCAAATTTTTTTTTATCAATTCTTCATTTTAGCCATTTTTCAAACAAAAATTCCAAAGTTGTTGGTTGAAGCTTCTCAAATGGGATATTTAATGTTTTTCTTTCTCATGTGTTCCTGATAATGAATCTATACAAAACAATTATTATTAACTGAGAAAATAATCAGTCGATTAAATCGATGTTGGAAATAATTGTTAGCTGCAGTTCTAATAAATGTTCCTTCGTGTCAGCGTGAACTACAGCAGAAAAAAAAGAAGTGGCTGTTTTTCACATATTTTTTCCTTATTTGTTGCACATTAGAAACCTGGTATTGCATTAAAGACACCTTATCATTTGTCAGGTGATTTTCCTACACGGATCATAAATGCATTAAATAAAAGAGAAATGGGATCAGACTGACCTGGAGCAGCAGCAGCAGCAGTGAGGTGAACCACAGGGAGCAGAGATAACTATGAACTTTACATTTCAGCATTTTTATCCTCCTTCAGATTCTCAGACGGAGCAAACTCCACCATAATCCTGAGGCTGAGGTAGAAGATGTGAGTTTAGATTCACTACTGAAGGTAGATTTCAGAAAATATCCTTCTCTTTTATATTTGTGATCTTCAGCGGAGAACAAATCCTTCTGGAAAATGTAATGCTGGGAAAGAAAACAGCTGGTTAAATGTCCTTTGTGTGTCTCTGAAAACAAAATAATTCCTTATTTGACGAGAAGAGTTTTCATTTTTTCCAGATATTTCGTCTCTTTTGTTCGTCGGCTCTTCTCTGCCTCATGTCCATCCTCAACTCAAACCTCTCAGACTTCAAACTCAGTCCTTCCTCTCTTTTCTCTGGACTCTCTGCCTGTCTCACCGGCTGTATGTCTCTCTTCCTGCCTGTCTGTCTGTCTATCTGCCTGTCTGTGTGTCGGTCAGACTCTATAGTGTCGAGTTTGGGAGTCACTAACGGACTTCCTCAATCAAGCCAACAGCTCTGTGAGTCACTGCAAAGGCACGACTACAAACCCTGGCTGCATGGAGGCTATAAATAGGCCTGGAACTACAATAGCAGCACACCTAGCTGCACTGACAGAGGTAGATGTTAAAAATAGAGACCAGTGTTTGATTAATTCCCACAGAGACGGGATCGTTGTGGAGTTTAAAGTTTGCTCTGTCTCTTTCTTTAGTGACAGTGTTGTCTCTTGATGCGGCTCCATCGGGTGTAAATTTAGTTCCTGTTGGTTCTGGAGTCACTGATAATAACTTTTGAAATTAAACTTTGTGAAAACAGCTCATTAAGTTTCACAGGACAGAAAACATCAGCTCACAACTTGATTCTTAACATCCAACCAAAGTACATACTTTATATAATCAATAAGTCAATTAGTCATAGAAAGAAAATCAATCATCAACTATTTTGATACTCAATCATTTAGTCATTTTTAAGCATTTTTTTTGCCACTGCTTCTGTGAGGATTTGTTGTTTCTCTCTGTTTATCATCACAGCAAACGTCACGAAACTCAGGAGGATCTTCTTCAAGCATCTCAAGTGTTACCTTGTAATTAAATCTCAATTATCGTGTAAATTATCTCATTTCCTGGACGTAAACTTCACATATCTGTAACTTCTTAATCCTTCCTAGTTAAGCAATAAAATATCTGATTCACAAATTTAAAAGTTAAAAGTTTTAACGCTATTCTGAGACTATTTAATTTGTCATCTTTTCCTCATTGAAAAGAATAAAAATTAATACTCTATCACTGGTAAATTAGTCGTCATGACAAAGGTTGAATTTGAATTTGACCCACAAAAAGTGAGTGAACTTTTCTTTTATGCAGCTTTACAAGTTAAAGGCCAAACTGCTTTTGTTTCAGTTGGTCTGAGTTACATTTAGTCATCCACACCTTTTTCCTTCCTTCCTGCTCTCCCTCCTCTGTCTGTCTGACTCTCTCTCTCGTTATACGACACGCTGTGGTTTCTAGGAACAACAGCTTCAGCTCCACACAGGCTTAATTCTTAATGTCATCTTCAAGAGTGATGTTAGGGGTCATGACAGAGTATTGTTGCCCTGGTCAGCATGTCCAGTTGAATTGCGGGTTGTCCAAATCGTTACCAGACATGTTTGAAAAGTAATGTGACACAGAGATACAGTCCTCAAACTGGGGATGGGTATGTCTAAGACTACCTCTACATTAAGCCAGATTAATTCAAAAATGCCGTTTTCTTGCGTCCACATCAGGCGTTTCAGCTCATTTCTACAATTACCTCCATCCACATTAAAACACCTCAGAAACAAGCAAAGAAGAAACTGTACTTCAGTTTCCGCCCTGCATATTGTACCGAAATGAAATTCAGCACTACTGCCACCATGTGTTTGCTCACTGATATAACAGTGTTACTACATAGCTCTGTTTTATCCGAACATAATACAATGCCAAGACAGCGTTTTCAGATTTACACAATCTGGAGGCCACCTGGGAAAAGTTTCATTTTCGGAAAAGAAAAACAACATTTCAGTCTGGACTAAAGGCCAACACGGAGAGAAAAAGATGCGTTTACAAATAAGTCGCCTTAGTACGGATATGGTCTAACTGATTAGTTTTCTAAAAGCAAATGTTGTTGCAGTTCATGGCAAAAAATTCTGGTCCTTTAAAGTAAAACTGGTGCTTTGGCTTTGTGTAAAAAAAAGTGAAACTCTTTGAGGGTCGGAAAACCAAAACAATGTCAATTTTTACCCAAAGGTTTAAAGACCCAAAAAATAAAGTGAGTATAAGTGACCTTTTTGACCTCAACTCCTGTCCAAGATCATAACAGTTGCGTTCGTTCAATGTGGTTTGATTACCACTAAACAAAATTCTCATTCCTACCAGTTAAATGTTACCTTACCTGTTTACACAAAGAATAGGAGCAGCAAGTGTGTTTGGTCAGGGCCAGTTCCTGGGTCTTCGGTTCCTAATGACAACCAAAGCTGTCAATTGGATGACCGGTGTTGACCCATTAAATGAACAGTCAGTCAGTCAGTCAGTCAGTCAGTCAGTCAGTCAGTCAGTCCCAGACAAGAGTCAGACCACATTGTTTTTATGTCCAGTGTTTTTATGTACATATTACAGATAACAGTATATATGTAAAGTAGATAAAGAGGTTACAGCACTACTCAGTGGCTAATGTTCCGGACTGTTACAACATTCAAGTTGATTAGTAATACATTAAAAAAACCACGTATCGTACGTACACTAATTAGCATCAGGTGTACTCTGACTGAAATGCCCACACAGTAGGAGTTTAAAAGGACTCTAACATTTTTAATTTTAATGTGGTAGTTTTGTTTTTCACAGTATTTAATTTTTGTTACTTTAATTCCTCACATTAACCAAATTAACCAACACTTGTTAACTGTTAACTTGCACACTCGCTGATGTATCAGAAACTACTGTTAACATGTTTGTAACATCAATGTCTTGGTTAGTTTGTGAGATAATTGTTCTATCTCTTATGTTAAAAGTTTGACATATTTGGTATATTTAAAAACTTTAAATAAAGTTCTAATAGTTTGAACTCTAATATTAATGAATTACCTCCACTGCACATGCACAATGTATACAGCAGAATTAGTACATCTCAGTAAAAAATTGTATTTATTCATCATTATGTGCAGGAGAAATAATAAAACATTAAAATCTGTTACAACTTATTATTAGCAAGGTGGCTAGCTAGCATCAGTTAAGTATCTTGCTAACTAGCAAATGTTAGCTTATTAGGAAACAGAGAAATGTTGTGTGGAGCATTAATTGTAAGTTAACCTCCATGAGGGAAAATCTTACTAGCCAGCGTTACAAAAAGAACAAACATGAGCTAAATATTTTCTCTTTCACCAGCTAACATCGTAAAAATAACTGTTATATATAAGTTAGCTTTAAGAACATTTGAGCTAAACTTTTTCTCTCACTAGCTTCCGCCACCAAAAGAAATACCTTTTAAAAAGGCTAAAAATTTGTTATTTCACTAAACAGGAAACTAAAGGACCTGTAAAAGAAAGTGTTACCCAATAAATCTAACAGAAAGGTCAATTCCTCATTTAACCACGAATCTTAGAAACAAAACACTGTAAATTTCAATAAAACCGGCAACTGCATGACTGTCTAAAATTGAAAATGTTTAGCGTCCCTTTAATCTCCATCAACAGTCAACAACAATAAAGTACAGGACATCAACCACCACCTACTGTACATACACAATACTACGTCAGAGGCAGTGTGTGTTGTTGTACCCGCTGCTGCAGTGGGCATGGAGGCCGGGCTCAACTCACTTTCGCTTCAGTCACTTCAAACAGAAAATTACATCACTATCACACTGGAATATATTAGATTTTGACCATTTTGAGTTTTGAAATTGAGATGATTTGAATTGACTCAAGTGAAGAGTGGGTTGTTGATGGTCCCAGGAGGCATGTTGGACGTATAGACAAACAGACGCAGGTCAAAAGTCCCTTGATTGTATCACAAGTAAAGATATAAATAAAAATATATTGGTACATAGAAAAAGAAGAGTCTTCAAAGTTTCTCTCATTTATTGTCCGTCAACCGTGCAGTCCAGACAACGCTCCCAGTTTTAGCAGCAATTTCTCTGTGTTTGTGGTCCGTGGATTGAAATGTAACTGCCCACATCAGTTTTAATAGCACTTTAACATGTACGGTACAATGTTATCCCATTCACACAGAGAGCAGATTAGATGTATATGTTAATGTTGTTCATTACTGGCGTTGTTGTAGAAACCTCAAATCTCTAAAACAAGTCAACACTCCAGGAACTGGAAAACTGAAGTTAATTATATTATAATAATATTAATATTATAATATTGTTTGTATGGGGGAAAATTTTACAAATACTGCTTCATTAAAAATAGCTTAAACAGGGCTAAATTTGGGTTTGTGCACACTTCAAACTTCAACTTTCTGACTCCAACAAAAGAGAAAAAAAAGTAATTTGTTAATTCCGTCCAGCTCCTGCTAAATTGATCATTTAGAGATAATGAGGTTTGTACCCCAGATAGCGAGTTTTCATACTAGTTGACAAATAGCTGATAGCTGCTAAACACATCAAAAACATGTAAAAACAGTATAAAAATAAAGTTATTATTACTTTGATACACCAAAATAACTCACTCACTAGATAACATAATTTACAACATCACACCGATGAGATGATTGCACCATTGTGACTTAAATTGTTTCACATTTTTGGTATAAAGTAATTTTCACACAAAGGGGGAATTGTCGATGCAAGAAACAAGGTTAAATATCAAACTAAGTGTAAACTCTGAGACCAAGCAGCGCAAGTTTTTCAAAATATTTGTTGTGTCAGGAATTACTCAGCAAACTGGTTTTCAATTTAGTGATATGCTGAAAAATGAACCTTTGAATAAAATATCAAGATATTTCAACTATGAATTTTAAGAATGGATTAAATGTACAAATCCTGACGGAAAATGACTGAACAAAGTGCCACGCGAATTTTGAGCTAGCTTGTGTCATTTTTTGGGGTATTATATACATTTTTTTCATTGTTATTTTAAGTTTTAACACGATGGTGGGGCATTGTGTTTATGTTGTAAGATAATTAGTATACCACTGCAACAGCTAGAAAAAACTTTATCTAACAAAGATAAAAACACTTTGTTAGCATTCAAAACTACTGTTCCCATAATTCTCAGAACTGCTATCAACTCTCTTTGGAGCTGTAGGCCTACCTATTGAACAGTGTAAAAATAACTGTTGTAACAAACTGTTAGTGTTTGAGAATCGTTATTTAGCAGTGGAATACAAGATTTA